TGTCACTGTGTGTCTTTCTCTACTTCTTTCCTAAAATGGAACTGCTTGCCGGACTCCTGGAGCCGAGATGAAAACGTAGCATTATTTTACCCAAGATTGTAAATGCCTGGCAGTATTGATCCAGCCCACCGCCTGCCCAGAAGGATGCTCGCAGACAATCTAATAAAAGCTGCTGAATAATAAACAGTGGGAGCCCACCAATTCTAAAAAAATGTAGATTGACAGGAATAATCCCCTCCTTGGAAAAAGCAGGCCAGTGGGCACTTCCCATCAGCCCATTACTGCCCACACCAATAGAAGACGATGGATTATTGCAACTCCAGGCTCTAAGAGAAATTGCTTTCCTAAATTTGACCTCCAACAATAGACATAAAATATGGACCATGTGTAATGAAGGAATTACAGCCCAAACAACCTCAACTCTCCGAGGCAGAGGTTAGAAGGTTGATGCTCACTGGTTCCAAAGGGATGGAAATGGGATGACCTTTTACCTTGAAAATGGCCACTGTAAAGGAAAAGACAGGGAGGTCAGATATCAGAGAGTAAGGAGTATATGGAGCCTCAGTCTTGTCAGCAGTGTCAGGTGGAACAAGCCAGGAAAGCAGCAACATAGCCATGAGGACACCACAGAGAGAGGAGAGACTGGGCTACTATGGGTGAGAAATAGGACACAAAGCCTTTCAAAACATGTAACTGTAGATAGAAGACAAAGGATTTGGAAAGGAAGACATGGTTTATTTGGTTCTGACATGCGGCTTCTGTGGTTTTTTAAAGGATTTATTTATTTTTATGTGTATATGTGAGTGTCTTTATGTATGTACATGCACCATGTGCATGCAGGTGCCTGCAGTGGCCAGAAGAGGGCACTGAATCCCCTGGAACTAGAGTTACAGATGTTGTGAGCTGGCACGTGGGTGCTGAGAACTGAACCCTAATCCTCTGCTAGGGTAATATGTGTTCATAAGTGCTGAGCCAGCGCTCCAGTATCAACACAGGTGTTTTTACTACTTAATTCCGAGTCAAGGGTGCTTCTTTCTTCTCTCTGCACAGTACCATCTCTTCAAAACTGGTTCTTTTGACAGAAAAATACATTATATAAACAATTTCTAAAGCTCAGCAAAATTTCTATGGTATATAGCCTGCATTTTAATCTTAAAAACAACAAAACCTCTGACAGCAGTGGAACATACTGGGTGGTTATAAGCAGAATTTAAAGAAGGATGGTGCTTCAGAGTAAAGATTTCAGCTGAAAACAGAGGGCTTCTTGGAAGGAGAGTGATGCACAATGCTAAGGATGATACTGAGCAGATGAGCAGCAGGGGATGAGTCTGAGCAGTGGGAAGATGGAGGCTCTGCTGCCCTGGGCCTTCTGGCTCTGGTCTCAGAGTCTTTGGGTCTGCCTGACTTCAGTTTCTGCTGTAATTGGTGTTTGGGAAAAGGCAAGTCTGCCCTAATGAATAAAGAATGAATTGCCATACTCCTCTTCCATCTCAAAACGAAGCTGCTTTCATCTGGCGCTCTCCAGCCATCTTTCTCAGGCCACTGTCTTGTTTAGCAAAATCAGTATTAATGCATACTCTACATAGAATTAAACCTGAATAAAAAGGGGAAACGATTAATAGCCATTGCAGTTAGGAAGCCTTCTTCAACTTGATATAAGAAAGAAAAATGACAGAGTAATTCGCCACCAGCAATTCCTAAGTCATGTGATTTTTTTTGAAACAGATCAATGTTGGTTGCCAAGCAACACACACATCAAAAAAAAAAAAAGAGAGAAAAAGAAAAAGGAAAAAAGGAGGAAAGCATTGTTACATTGTGATAAATATTTTTAGAAAACCCATAGATTTGACACATATTATCCCGATAGTTACTCTGAAGATCTACGTTACCTTAAAGGAAGATCAGCCTCATTAACTGAGAAGACTTTTTGTGAACAGTAGGCAAACCCATCTGGTAAATGAACAGTCAAATGGAGCAAGAGTTGAAAATCACAGCTGCCGTCTTGGAATGCTTTGTTAATGACGTGTGTGTTTATTAATGAGTTTATCGCCTTTATGTCATGCTGATGTCACCATCAAATATTAATGTATTTTATAACAATATCTATTGATATAACTGGTCTACTTCCCTGTAGATGTCACCATGAATAATACTTCTGAAAATATTAAAATCAATAATGAGAATATTAGGGGGGCATTTTAGTATGTCAGTGAAATGAATTCTACTTTAAATGTCCCATGTAACATAAACCAAGTAAACACATCAAGTTATCATTTTAAATACCTAAATACATAGATCACTGATGTGTGTCTTATCACATAGAAGAATACATTGTCAGAAATAATAGATGAAATCCACCTAATAAACAGGGGCTCTGAGGACTCTGCTTTAAAGTCAAGAGCCCTCTGATTGTTGGAATTAATAAGCATTTGCTTCTCTTAACATGACAGAAGATCAGAAGGCAAGTGCGGTGTAAGTGGCTCAAATAAATCCTAAATTCGTTTACCCTTGGCTAGGACAGCCGCAGCTTCTGCCTCCCCTCCCTCCACAGCAAGCTTGTACTCAGGAGATGTTTTTTTCCTAACTCCACATTCCTTTCGAGCAGGATTGGATGGTGTCCATGTGAACAAGAGCCTTTCCTGGAGAATACCAAGGCAGAAGTTCACCGGCTTCTGGGGCTGTGAGAAGAGGCGCCGGTCAGGGCAGCTGGGAGGCTGGCTGTACTGTACCAATCAATACAGGACTTCAACCTACTGTTTCACAGAATTTAAAGAGAGAAACACGGCAGGCTTCCTAAACCAAGGAAAGATACAGGCCCATCGGATTCTGGTATCTCTGAGATACCAGATGTCAGAGTATCTCTGCCATGTCCCTTAACTGCTTTCCTAAATCAGGCTGGCTGGAGAAGGCTTCAGGAAGCCTTGGGCCTACACAGAGGCTTCCTCCCTGCTGAGTCTTCCCGTAACATTTTAACTGCTCATCCTTGGGCTAATGTAAGGGTGGGTATCCCAAGCCTAAACAGTTCTTCAGATAAAGACTGAGACTATCAAAGGATAATGACCAGACTTGTGCTCTTCCTGAATTATATCCAACAAGTTCTAGAAGGACTTCCAATGCCACCCATAACTACAGCACTCAACAGTAACCTTCTGGTTCTTTTGTTAGAAGGAAGGCAGCTACCACAGCCCTCTTGGCTTCACTGTAGCTGCCACCGCGACTGTGCAAGGCTCTCTAAGCCCTTCAAAGGGATTCCTCTTCTGTCAAGACCAGCTCCAGGCCTAATTCCATCTTCAAGAGGTGCAAGCAAGTAAGTGTGGGCCAGACTTATGCCTCACCCATGAACCCACAGCCACCTCTTAAGACTGTCAGAGTTAAGGGCTCCATGCTTATGTATGTGGAAGCTTCTAGAAAGATTCCAAATAGAAGCCACCCTGATCTGTGCCCTCTTGAAGAACATGCTGTGTTGTTTTGCTTTATTTTCAAGTTTGCAAATGGTGACTGTTTTATCAGTAGAATTTTTGCTAGGAGGTTACTGATTTATAAATCTTGTTTGAGGCAAGAGTGATGATTGTTTTGTTTTCTAGGGATTTTTTTTGTAATGTCTAATAAAGTGTAAATGCTATGTAAATTCTGTGTTGGCAGGAAAATGTGAGGACTGTCATTCGTAGATTACTGCTTGCATGGCTTAAAGGGTGCTGCTTACTCTGAAAATTGTAAAAACCACAAAGATAATTCACTGGAAAAGTCTAGAACAGTATCTAAGGAGAGCTCTGCACATACAAAGGTGGGACTAGGGCTGAGACCAAGCGTCAGTAGTAGGCCTACTGCCCTCGTGCCAGTAGGTGTCTGCTGGACACTCAAGGCAGGACCCATACAAACCACAAAATGCCCCTAACCCTCTACTAACTGACTAAGTGAAAATCGAACGTTATCAGGAGCAATGAACTGGGATGATTTCCAGTTATCACAACTCTTAGAAGGAAAGCTTGGAAATATCTCAAGTACAATTGTTCTTATTAAATAAATGCTCCTTTAGAGTAACCATTCCAAAAATTACATTTTACACGATGGCAATGTGGAGAGCTAATGTAAATGATGAAACAGAGACCAGTGAAAACCACAGAATTCAAACATGCAGCCAAACAGCCACTGAATCTACAACTTACACTACAGGAAGAAGATTTGCCATTGTGCTATGTGCTTTTGCTCGTTTCATTCTGATTAAATCAGAGATAACAGAAGGACACACAGAACAAAGCAGATTGCTAGAAAACATGATACTGGGAAGACCATCCAATCAAAGGTCAAGCAGGAGCCAATGTTCCACGGCTGGGTACACAGGAGGAAGAGGGGGAAATGGGAACACAGTTGCTTTTACAAAGAAACTAATGTTGCATCCATCCAGAAGGATATCACCACTGCAGAAGGATTATATGACAGAATCAAGAACAAGAAAGGCTAGTTTGTAAAGAAAAGGATTATAGTTTCTTTTTTTTTTTTTTTTTCATGGTGGATGTGTGTATTCCAATTTCTGCATACTAAAGTAGCGGGAATCATTTCTGTATTCCATAAGAGTTCAATAAGTGGTGTTCCTTTTGGGCACTGATTGTGAGAGTTGGGATTCCTTTGCATTTCACTGAGGAAAAACTAGGAGGAAAAACTAAGGATGCATGGCTAAACCAGAACTTTCCAGTTAACTTTACTCTGCAAAGATGCAGAAGGGGCCCATTCAAAAAGTGCTATCCCCGCATAGATCTCAAAGTCATCTCCTCTCTGGCTGGTGTGGCATAAAACTGTCCTCCAAACGTCAAGCTTGGTTGTACCCGCTTGCCCAGGATCATCAAAAATAAACATGACTGTTGACACTCTGCAAGTTGACACTCCGCAAGAAAGGAGGGGCGGGAAGAGTCAGCTACGCCTCCCAACCAATCGAGTTGCACCACGGGGTGGGACTAAGGGCACCTAAGCGGAAATCACTAGGAGTCTTGCTCTCTTATCATTTTGTGCGGCTGCAGGAGGTCACAAGATCCATGCTTGGGTGTGGACTTTCCAGCCGGGCAAATCGGGAGCGGGGGTTGCCCACTCTTTGTAAGTAATCCCTCACCCATTGCTCTCTTTAAAAAGCCTAGTAACCTCGCTAGGATTTTACAAACCGCAGCTTGAAGAATTCGTACCTCATTTTGTTGTAGGACCAAGGGAGGAGAGGGCTGGACGACATTTTTTTGCCTCCCAGAAGGAATATTAGCAACGGCTCGTTTCTTAAAAAATCTATCAATCGCCTAATTCGTCCATGATCACCTTCACCTCCATCTCCCTCTCCCATTCACCTGTTTATCAGCTGGTCTCTGTGGGGATCTTAATTTCTGCAGACATACCAGTTTAGTTATGGGAAAGTTAGAAATCCCCTGTGCAGAATGATATTCTGTTAAACACAAAATAGATGTTGTTATTAAAAGACAATCCAGGGCCTGGAGAGATGGCTCAGCAGTTAAGAGCACCAGCTGCTCTCACAGAGGACCTGGGTTCAGTTCCCAACACCTACTTGGCAGTAAACAACCATCTGTAACTCCAGTTCCAGAGGATCCAATGCCTCTTCTGGCCTCTGTAGACATTGCATGCATGGGTACACTTACATACACATAAAATAAAAATAAATAAATAAATAACACTTTAAGGACAATCCGAACACTAAAGTTGTTTCAACAATGTTGCAATTCTGACAGTGACGTTCACAAGAATTTTTATTTTGCTGTTTTGAAACCTCCTCAAAAATTTCAAAGGAACTTATGTTTGTTTGGCCAAAACATTTGACATTTACTCTATTGGCCAGGGCACTAAATTCTCTCTAGATAAATCCTGCTGATCTGACTTTTCCCATGAAAATCTGTAGAGTGAACTTCTAGTTTATTATGCCTACTTGAAAAGGGTAATTTAATAAGGCATCAGTACAAATACTTAATTGTGCAATGGCTATCGACAATGCCTTTAAACAGTTGCATATTTGCCAGATTTAGCTAATGGAAGTAGAATTGCCACTTAATGTCTCAGCTTGCACGGGTGGAAAATAAATTGCCTCTGACATTCCTTTGGCTTTTAAAGGACATACTTAGATAATATTTACAGTCAAATTGATCTATTGTTGCCTTTATGTTTTCTTGGGTTAAAAACGGGGGATAAAATGGGTTATAAAGGCTAATATTTCATGTGTCTGCTGTTCGGAAAGCATTTGCCCACTCATGGGCATTTAGAGGGTATCTAAGCAAAATCTAAAGGTCTGGGAGGAGAGTGGACACTTCGATAAAGTGATGTCTCCAAGATCCAAAAGGGGAGCAGTCTGTTTCCACTGAGACCCTGTAGAGAGAACTTGCATTGTTCACACAGCTGATGCACTAAGTATCTTCTCTAGTTGCGACTAGGAAGAAGGACAGAGCAGAGGAGACCCAACAATACTGCACCTAATCCTTGTCAGATAGTATTCCAGATACATTGTATCACCTCATTCACTGGTGAAAACCACATGCTGAATTAAAGTATTGTCAGTCAGTGCTGGTTATCCTAAGAGATGATAACTGGGAGCAAGTACAGGGTGATGCTCCTGTGCACTGTAATGTTCGATTTCCTGACAGACTGCTGGTGTCTATTCATGCATGTGTTATGCTTGTCTAGTTATTTTCTGATGGTTCTAGAAGGTAGAAGCCCTAGATCAGTGTACAAGCTTGATCCTGGCTAGAGCTCTCTCTTGAATCCCAAATGGCCACATTCTACTGGGCTCTCATGGGAGAAAAAGAAAAGAGGTTGGGAAGATTTTCTCTTTTTTATAAGACCAGAAGTCTATCAGATTAGGACTGCATCTTATGGCCTCATTAAGCCTTTACTATTCCCTAGAAGCTCTGTCTCCAACAATAACCACATTGGGGGTTAAGACTACAACATGTGAATGGGAAAGGGGCAGAAAACTGAGTCCATACCACCACCTGTCTCACCAAAACTGCTATCTGATTTTTTTTTAATGTAGGCACTCAGAGCTATAAACTGCTATCTATAGAATATGACCATTAGGCCTTATACTTAATGAAGCTTTCTGATCCTACCATGTCCAGGGACAATCACTGGTCTTATGATGGTAATGATAATGGTGAAGATGATGATGGTGGTGGTGGTGGTGATGGTGATGATGGTGGTGATAGTGATGGTGATCGTGGTGGTGGTGGTGGTGGTGATATCAGTGATAATAATGATGATGATGATAATGGTTACATAAGGCCACTTTTCATGCTAGTATTTAATGTACATCCCACAGATTCTTCCTATTTCCTTTTTCTCTCCTTCTGTCTCCCTCCCATCAGTCTTCTTTGTTCTCCAACTTTGCTTTTACTTTCGTGTGTGTGTGTGTATGATTTTACATATCTATACAGTCTAGGACCCACAAATGGGAGAACACATGGAATATTTGTCTTTCTGAAACTGACTTAATTCACACATGATCATCTCTGATGGTTCTAATTTTTTTGTTATATCATAGGTTATGTCCAACTCTTCCAACAGTCTACATAAATGGAATGTGCCAGATACTCTTGGACTTAAGGATATGTGCTTGAGACTTACCCACACTAAACCTATGTGCTTGTTCTTTTTCATTGGTGAGTAGTCTTTCGTTGTTTGCATGTGTTCACCATTTCCCTCCTTTCTATGTCATTAATGGATGTGTGTGCCAGTTCCAGTTTGTAGCAATGATGAATAAGACTTCTAAGAAAGTTCTCATACAAATCTTTTAGTAGATGTGTCTGTTCATCTTGGATGAATACCTAGGTGCGAAATCTCTGGGTCATGGGTTGGTTATGGTGTTTATTATCTGGATTTTAATATGATTTATGGTGTGATCAAGACAAAGGACTTACAGATTATAATGGTGTATTTAGGTAAAGTGTATCTGAAAAAATTAGCTTTTCTCAAAATAGTAATCAGAATCAAAATCAACTAGAAAAAAAAGGATTTTTAATGGTATATTTAATGGTATGACCCTGGTCCTAGGCCTTTGCGAAATCATTTTTATCAGAAATGTATAGTAAAATATATTGGGTGTATTCAACAAACAGAAGACTCAACAAATCTACAACAGACTAAAAGAAATTGCTAATTCAGTAAGTCCCTAAGCACAGTGCTCAGTGAGCATGCTGTGAACTCTCACCCACAGCCCTCTACAGTGCTGCCCTGTTTGTACAACGTCCTTCCTGAGAGCCAGTGCAACTGGTAGCACACCGTAGCCTGTCCCTCTGGCATGGAAATTTTTTAAAATACCATGTGTAGTTAGACTTGTAGGAAGTATATCAAAGTTGCTAATAGTCCTCTGTTTTCTGAAACAAGCTCTATCTAGAATATTATGTCTAACTTAGGACATCTTGCCCAAGGAGAAACATCAGCAAATTATGGTGCATCTGGAAGAGAAAAGACTCCAGAATAAAGAAGAAACAGAGAACTAATTTATGTAAGAATTGAGAGATCCAGGATATGCCTCCTTCCAACTCCTGCTCCATTTCATGGGTCCAGCGTTTTGCCCCACCAATACCAGCTTGCTGCCCCTGAGAAGACCCCTGCAGCCACATCACCTGGAATCCTTAGTCCTTACCTGTCCTTCCAACCTTTTTCCATCATCCTTGGAATACACAACAGAGAGATGACATGCAAACACGGAGGATGAAAATGGACAGGTTGGGTCATTGAAGGGTTGCATGAATTTATTGTATTCACAAGGAAATGCTATGATTATATTAAATATAAACTTTCATTTCTTTGACTCCGGGGGAAAATAATTTCATTTTAAATATCAATTATATTTCAATTCTGTGAGATCTTAATGAGTTAACACTTACTAAAGTGATTTTTAAAGCATTTTATATTAAAAGGTATCTACATAAAAGGGAAAACATCACAGAATTTATTTTTTAAAATATTTTGTTATTTTTATTTTATGTGTATGCATGTATTGCCTGCATGTAGGTAAGTGCACCCGTGTCATGCAATGCCCACAGAGGACAGAAGAGGCTGTCAGATTGGAGTTACAGACAATTGTTAGCTGCCATGTGAGTGCTGGGATTCGAACCCAGATCTTCTGCAAGAACAGTGTTCTTAATTGCTGAGCCATCTCTCCAGCCCCAGAGAATGCATTTTAAGAAGCTTTGTGGAGGGAGAATATGGACAAGATGGAGGTGAATCTGAGGTCCTCATTGTAATCTCACTTCACCAGCCCTGACAGTCCAGCATGGAATTCCCAATCAAGAGTGACTGAGAACTGAGTTGGTCTTTCTCTAAGTCCTCACAGCCTCAAATTTTGATTTTGATCTAACATTGAAGGATTCAATTAAATCTATTTTATTTGAGACACACTTGGGATCCTTGTCTTGGTTGGCTTTAACTCTCAATTTATAGCCTAGAGTCACTTGAGAAGGGAGTCTCAATTGAGGAATTTCCCAGAGCAGACTGATCTGTGGCCATGTCTGTGGGGGATCTTCTTGATTCTTAATTGATGTAAGAGAGGCTAGCCTACTGTAGCTGACATCATTTCCTGGACAGGTGGTCCTGGGCTATATAAAAAAGCTAGTTAAGTATATGATCCTATGCAAGCTAAGGAATAAGCCTGATAAGTAGCATTCCTCACTGGCTTCTGCAAGTTGGTCCCTGCATTGAGTTCCTGACCTGACTCCTTTTCAATGATAGATTGTGACCCGGAAGTGTGACCCTTTCTTCTGCTAAATCGCTTTTGGTCATTGTGTTTTATCACAGCAACAGAAAGGAAAGTAGAACAAAAATTGGTAGTGAGAATCTCTGGAAGTCTAGCCAAGGCTTAATGGAGGGAAGAGAAGCCAGCAGATCTTTCTCCATACACTCCATTTCTCTTTCATCTCATCCTCCAATTACCAGAATAAGTGAAGGAAAAAGTAATGTATAAAAACAAAAATCTGTTCCTTTTAAGTCATCATAAGCATATATAAAATACACACCTTGCCAGATCATGATATGTGTATATCAAAGCATTACATAGTACTACACCAAAAGGTACAATGTTATGCTTTTACATATCAGATAAAAATAAATTCAAAAAAATAACAAAGTCAAATGCATCATACTACCTAATTTCCAAACCTTCTACAAAATTATATTAAATGAAACAACATGGTACTGGAGTGAAAACACACATACTCATAGATGGGAACAGAACGGAGAACACAGAAATAAATCCATGCTTCTTGACTAAATGGTTTTTGACCAAGATGCCAAGGACACAATGGCAGAAGGACTGTCTTTCAAATAAATGTTACTAGGATTTCCATAAAAGTTCCAATGACATTTTTCATGGAAATAGCAAAACAAAATTCTAAAATGCATATGGAAGCAGAAAAGATCCTCAATACCTAAAGCAAAACTGAGTAAAAAGAAAAAAACACTACTAGAGGTGGGTGGTATCAGAATACTGACTTCAAGATACACTACATAGCCATGGTGACTAAAGTGCTGACTAAAAGGTACACTACAAATCCATGGTGACTGAAATGGCATGGTAGAGCAAAGACATAGACATGTAGATCAATCAGCAGAATAAGGACCCAGAAATAAACCCACTAACTCTACCCACCTGAGTTTTTACAAAGATGCCAAAAACATACACTGGAGAAAATAAAGCTTCTTTGACAAATGGTGTTGAGAAACCTGATATCCACTTGTAGATAAAAGAAACTAGATCCATATCTCTCACCCCATATAAAAACCAATTCAAATTGGATCAGAAATCTTAATGCAAAGCCAGAAACTCTGAAACTATTAGGGAAAAACACTTCAAGTTAGAGGCATGGGCAAAGACTTTCTGAAAAAAGACTTAATGGTTCAGGAAAGAAAAACAAGAATTAACAAATGAGGTGCCTGAAGAGATGGCTCAGCGATTAGGAGCACTGGCTGCTCTTACAGAGGACCCAGGTTTGGTTCCCAGCACCCACATGGCAGCTAACAATCATTTATAACTCCAGTTCCAGGGGATCCAACACCCTCTTCTGACTCCATGGGCACGACACAGGCAATACACTCATACACATAAAAAAATAAAATAAAATATTTTTAAAGAATTGACAAATGAGACTGCATGAACTTAAAAGCCTTCTGCACAGCACAGGAGATGACCAACAGAATGAAGGGACAATGTAAGAATTAGTAAAAATCTTTGCTAGCTGTACATCTGACAAAGGATTAATATCTAGAATATATACAGAACTCCAATAAACTTAGTATCAAAACCCCAAACTATCTAATCAGTTAATGACCTAATGAAATGAAGTGACAGCTCCCAAAAGATGAAGTAAGTACAAGTGGCCAATAAACACATGAAAAAATATGTAACATCTTTAGCCATGGGGAAATACAAATTTTAAAAAAACAACACTGAAATTCTATCTCACCCCAGTAAGAATAGCTATGATTAAGAAAGCAAATAACAACAAATGCTGGTGATGATGCAGGAGAAAGGGAACCTTTATACACAATGGGGAGGATGAAACCTAGTCCAGCTCCTATGGAAATCAGTATAGAGGTTCCCCAAACTATAACTACTGTATGGTCTGACTGTATCAGTTCTGTGTACCCAAAGGACACGAGATGAGCATCCCACAGAGATATTCGCACGTTGCATTTACTGCAGCACTGTTCACAATAGCCAAGTTATGAGATCAGCCCAAGTATCCATCAGCAGATGAATGGATACCAATAATATGGAGTTTTATTCAACCATTAAAAAAAGAATGAGGTTATGCCATTTGCAGAAAGATGAATGAACCTGCAGATCACTGTAGTAGACAAAGAAGACAGGCACAAAAAAAGCAAGTATCACATACTTTCTATTCTTTTTGGATTCTACATTTTAGGTAGATTATAAAAGACATTACCTAGTGGAGGGATGGGAATGCATGGGGAACAGCGGCAGGAAAGGGTAAACATGGTCAAAGCACATAGAGTATTTGTAGGAAATGTTATTATGAAAGCCATCTGTATGTACAATGAATATGTGTCAACAGGGCTAGAAAAACTGAATCTCCACATGTAAATAATGAAATTATGGCCTCATACTATATTTAAAAATCAGCTAAGAGGGCTGGAGAAATGGCTCAGTGGTTAAGAGCACTTGCTCTTCTTCTAGAGGATCTAGATTAAATTCTCAGCTCCCACAGCAAGCAGCTTACAACACAGCCTGTAACTCCAGTTCCAGGGGATCCAATACCATCTTCTGGCCTCTGTAGGTACCTGCATGGACATGCACACACACACAAATAAAAATTTTTGAAAATAAACCAAAATTAGATTTAAAAACAAAGTTGGGCAAGGTGGCACATGTCTTTAATCCCAGCACTCAAGAGGCAGAGACAGGCCAAGCTCTGTAAGTTCAAGGTCAGCCTGGTCCACATAGTGAGTTCCAGGCCAGCTGGGACTACAGGGAGACACTGTCTCAAAAAGGCAAAAAAAAAACCCATAAACATTAGACTTGAAATTATAAACTACTGGAAGAAAACTGAGCAATAACCTTTTGGAGGAGAACTCTAAAACCCAAGCAACAAAGCAAAAACTAAAAGTCTACATAGCAAAGGAAGCAATGAGCAGAAGAGTTGACGTCAAGGCTGGGAGACCATAATGAAGGGAAATCAAATGTCTGATAAGGAGTTAATACCACATATATATATATGTGTATATGTATAATATATATTATATGTATATATAATGTGAACATGATGCATTTATCTGTTACATGTCCTCTCTCCGCCTGCTCCCCAAATCCCTCTTTACTCTGATAACCACTCTTCTGTCTTCTACACCTATGAGATCAGCATTTTATATTCCGTGTAACATGTGATATTTGCCTTCTAGGTCTGACTTATTTCACAATATCTTCTAGTTCCATATGCAGATCAATATTAAGAAAAACACCCAATTAATGTAAGCAAAGGACCTAAATAGACATTTCCCAAAAGAAAATATACAAATGGTCAGTAGGTATATGACTAAAATACTTAATGCCATTAGTCATCTGAGAAATGCAAATCAAAGCTACAATGTGTCACCTTATATCTCTCAGAATGACTCCTATATTAAACCTCCTCTACCCAGGGCTCAGGGACCATTGTGGAAGAAGGGATAGAAAGATTGTAAGAGCCAGGGGTGGTGGATGACCACAAGGACACAGTTTTCCAGGCTTCTGGGAATTTGCTCATATGAATTCACAGCAATAGTGACAGCATACACAAGACCCATTCTGACTCAATCAGACAAAAACCCAGAGTAGAACTGGGAAAATGGGCAGCAGGCCCCAACTTAGCTGAGGAACTATTGGCAACTGATCACTACTGGGTGAGGGAGAATTGGTCTTCTTTAAGAGAGCGACTCTAGGTAGGCTGACTAGAGTCCAGTGGATGAACTCACACTGAGGGACACTGGGTACACAAATCTGACTCAATAGGCCTTAATATATATGACATAATACGTGAAATCTGATGGGGGGACGTTATGGAGAGGTGCAGATAGGGGTGCAGATAAGGTCTATATATGATTAAGATGCATTAATATGTAACGCACAAAAATTCAATAAAAATCTTTATTGATTAAAAAAAAGAATGACTATTACCCCCATGCACTCCTGCATATATTATGAAAAACTGTGGAAATTCCTCAAAACTTAAGAGAACTACTCAACAATCACACATCTGGATATACAGACAATGGGGTATCAGAGGGCATCTATGCTCCTGTGTGCTTGGAGGCATT